TGTTCCCTTGTCCCTGGGTTTTTTAACACCCACTTCCTTTCTCCCACCTCCCCTCTCCCATGTCCCCACCCTCCCCACAACCATCAGTCCCATTGTTTTCTCTTCCAGATTGTTTATCCCACCTATCTTATCTAGATAGACCTGTAGAGATAATAACGCGTACAAAAAACAAGATAGAGCAAAACAAAGCAACAAAACAAAACAATAACAACAAAAAAACAATGACAGAAAAAAGAAAAGCCTGTAAATAGTTCAAGTTTTGTTTGTTGACCTTTAGGAGTGTTTTCTGGTTGAACCTGATGGGATGCCACACCCTGGCCCCCAAATCTATTTTTGGTATTCCTTGCTCTGCTCCCTTGCTGTTCTGTTGCACGCCCTTAGAGTTTTGCCTCAGTGTGGTGGGGTCAGATTGGGCACAATACCCGCACTATGTCTCCAGTGTTGTTCCCTGTAGCATTACGGGTCAGTGAAGGACGCGGGGATTACACAAGATTTTATACTAATTAAAATTAGATGATATAAAGGTTAAATGAATCAAATAAGCAGTGTTAATTACAATAACATCCACCCTAAGTTCCTAAACATTAATTGGGCTATTATAATATATTAAAATGAGATGCTGTACGGGTTAAAGAGTCAAATATTCCCATTCAGCATTATCTACAATATTATTTATTCTTATTCCCTAAACACGAATTGAGCAACTACTATAGGGATAGGTACTGTAGTAGTTACATAATCTGGTGTCAACTTGAGACTATTAAAGAGTGAAGGGGTAGAGTTCAGCCTGTCAATCAGGTTGCAGCATGATGACCTCATTTGGAGGCGCTAAGGAGATAAATAGCTCACTGAAGGCCAGACCCACATTCTCTGCTTGACATTCCTGTTGACAAGTCACATGGAGGAGCTATGATGGAGTCAGAACCCCGGAGCCAGAGGAGCCACGTGGAAACCCCTGCCAGCGCTGAGATGCTTCTACCACAACTGGACCCGCAAGACTTTCTACCTACTGGCCTGTGATCTTCCTGCATTTGTCGTCATTGCATGTGTTGTATGAGCTTGAAGAGGAATTTATAGACTGATATTGAACATGTGCACTAATGTCGGACTTGTGAACTTGATCTGGACTGGCTGGGATGTTTTCTCAAAGTGCAGTTGCTCTTTTATATAAAGTTCTTTCTCACACACACGAGTGTCTCTGGATTTGCTTCTCTACTCAACACAGACTAACACAGGCACTTTATGAAAATTCAAACTCACTGCCATTGAGTTAGAAATTCCAACTCCTCGTGACCCTATAGGGCAGAGTACCACTGCCCCTTTGGATTTCGGAGGCTGTCCATCTTTTACTGGAGCAGAAAGCCTCATCCTAGTCAGGTCGAGCAGTTGGTGGGTTTGAGCGCTAACCTGCTGTTGACAGTCCAACATGTAACCCATCACACCGCCAGGCTTCCTGGAGCATTACAGGCGGTTGTTAGGTGCTGTTGAGTTAGCTACAACTCCATGACCCCATGTACACTAGAACATAGTGTACACCGCCAGGTCCTGTGCCGTCCTCACAACTGTTATGTCTGAGCCCATGGTTGCAGCCACTGTGTCCATCCATCTCCTTGAGGGTCTTCCACTTCCTCACTGTCCCTCTACCAAGCCTTATGTCCATGTCTAGGGACTGATCTTTCCTGATAACATGTCTAAAGCACGTGGGATGAAGTCTCCCCATCCTTGCCTGTACGGCGCATTCTGGCTGTACTCATTCCATGACAGATTTGGTTTTCTGTTGGCAGTCGATGGTACTTTCAGTATTCTTCATCAGCGCCCTAATTCAAATGTACCAATTCTTCGGTCTTCCTCCTCCTATGCCCAACGTCCACGTGCATAGGAGACAACTGAAAATACCATGGCTTTGGTCAGGCGCACGTTAGTCCTCAAAGTAACATCCTTGCTTTTCAACACTTTAAGGACTTCTTGTGCAGCAGACTTAGCCCTTATCGCGTTTTGGCTGCTGCTTCCATGAGGGCTGATTGTGGATCCAGGCAAGCCGAAGGGCACTACATAGGTGGTGGCAATAGACTGTGGTTAGGGAGTGAGACAAGTCACTGATGGTTGCCATGCAGTGTGGCAAGTGCCGGGAGAGAAATTAAACAAGGTGTTCTGGGTACAGGAGAGGTACCCGTGTGACAGACAATCTAATGTCTCACAGGACCTCTCAGGGGCGTACAGAGGAAAGAAGTGCGGTGGAGCGGCTTGAAGGTATGCCAGGTGGACAGGGATCTCAGAGAGCGTGCCTCTTTGGGAAAAGGAAGAACAGCTCTGACAAAAGTGAAGCTATACAGGCAGGTAGAGGTCAGACCATTGGGGGGGGCCCCGTGCTTGGTGAAAACTTTATGCTTTATTCGGAGGGCGGCAGGCCTGGCTGGCTGTGCCTCTGCCCCGAGAGCGTTCCAGTGGAGGGCATCCAGTTCACTAAGTCGCACGACATTACTGAATTAATCCACCCGGATCCTCAATGCTGGTTCAGCCCGCAGTGTCTTTAATTACTTCCCGTACATCTCCTGGCCACCACGAGATAACACTTAGTCCCCAGTGTTACCTGGTGAGTTAACCGGGTTATGCGAGTCTGGTTCGCTAGCAAGCGCGTGCCACCTGAGGCGTCCGGATACACCTCGATTCCCTTTGCTAACCAAGGAATAACGAAAACAGAAGCGACTGCTAGGCCTCTCCTTCTCCTACCTTCCTTCCCTTTCCTCTTGCAGCAGCCTCAGCCCAGCGACGTGGAGGATGTCCCCTCCAGCCAGCACGCCAAGAGACCAGCAAGC